ATTCTTCATTGCATAGTTTGACTTAGTTCATATATATTACATTTTGCTTGATGTTGACGTTAGGATTTGGCCACGGCTTCTGGCACCAGTACCCAAGGAAATGAATGCTGATCTTTCCCATGATGACATAAGTGGATTGCCAGTTGAACTATGCTGCATTAGCAAAGTTTAACACCTGTACAAGAGGTGGATGAGACAAACGGTTTGTCAGTGGTTACACAGACATTTCCTTAATGCCATCACCTTTACATCACCCTGAGACAGAAGGCATTAGTAAATTCTATTCTGTGGATACAGTGCAATTTTGTACACTTTTCTTTTTCGTTTGAATACAAAGAATGGGAATTTATGGTTTTATTTTGAAAATTTAATTCTTCAAGGTGATAATATGGCATTATATTTTCAAGGAAGCCTTTTTTTAGGTAAGATAGTTGAGTGGTCATATAATTTTTGATTCCTGTAGCTTCAAAAATAAATTTAATGAAATATTTTTGTGAGGAGAAAATATAAAAGGCTAGGGCTAAATTCCAATTTTCCTGTCAGAATCTTGGCAGACAAAAAGTGGAAATCATTTCTTCCTTCTAAATGCGTTAGTCTGGGTTAATAAGAAAAATCTTTAACCATTAAATTTGATTACATCATTTGTCTTTTTTTAAATACAATATATGAAGTATTATATAAGAACAGTGGGATCTCAGTCCAGTTTTTGTTAGCTTAAACTACTTACGAAACTAGTGTTAGTTTTAACACTAACTAGTGTTAGTTTTAACAAAAATGGCCAGTTGGCCTACACAGACATATTTAGGTCCCTGAGTGTGCATGGAATTTGACACTCAGAAAATGAACAAAATTCAATCTTCAAATACTAATCACTATTTAAACCTGGCTTCAAAAAATTTTTCTTAGTCATTTTGCTAATGTGCCATCACTGAAAAGCTTAAGAATGCAACCTGGTAAAATGGCTTTCAATGCCCATGAATCAATGAAAGAAATATGGTCTTTCTCTATTTTTTGCTTAATGGCTTGCATCTTTTATCTTGTCACATAGTTCAACGGCATAGAATTACAATAAATTAGTTTTGCAATTATCAAACTCTTCAACTTCTCTTTGGCATTTAACGAACCTCAGAATCTGTTTATTGCTTCATATACTTTACCATCATGAATATTAGCCTTTAATTAACTGGAACTCTAATCTTAATCTTTCTCACTATATTGCAATGAAACATTTTTATTAACTTGAAGAAGATAGTATTTGTTACTATTTTTCTGATAAATGGAATACTTTCAGAATGACCTTTTTATCAGTAATTATAACAATATAAAATGTAAGAAGGCAAAACTCATTATACCAAAGAAAAGCATTGTCTGATTAGTTTTTGTGTATTTCACTTAGCTACATAAAATCACTGAGAAGCCTCAGCTGAGAGAGGCCTATAGAGATCATGTGGTGCAGGGTTAGATCAGGAATTGCAAGTGAAAGAGGAAAATCATGCACATAAACTCTTCCTCAGGCAGATTTTGCACAGCTAGAATGACCCAAAGCAGTGTTTGCATTAGAGAATAGAGCTCTGTGGTGGTCTCCCTAATAATGAAGGCTGGAAGGAAAAGAAATTGTTTGTAAAAGGTAAGCAGCAGTGACTCAGTACAGCCGCTCTAGCAAAGGTCTCATAAGCTAGGTTTGTCAGATACAAATGAAACAAATTGTCTTCTTTAAATAAAGGAGAGCACAAAATACTCTTCAGTCATGCAACATTACTGTATCTTCAATGCAGGGACAGTTCCACTGTCTTCCTGGTTGCTGATAATTCTTTGTTCTTGATAGATGTTAGGCTCTTTTCTGTCTTGATCATTTCATTGCTTTGAAGTCAGTTACTCTTCCAGGTATTTAAGGGTTCTGTATCTATTGGAGACCAATCTGACAAGAAAAGCATCTTTAAGACAAAGGGAAAAACAACAGCTCTTGTTGACGCTATTTTCAAGTATTTGGTACACTGCTACTTCTCCATCTGTTCACAGTACTTTGGTAGTTATACAGTGCAAGAGTTGCTCAGAGGGTAAAAAAGCCCATATTCAAGTGTAGACAATAATGGCATGTAATATTGAAATGAGAGATATGATAATAGATGAAATGTATTAATGGAATTTCTTAATATTTAGTTTTAGGAATAATTAATTATTTAATATTTTCATTGAGAAAATCAGGATTGCATAATGAAATTTATAGTTGACATTATGTTTGGAGTTGTTACTAAAACAGATGAAAATCATAGTGTGACAGATACAAGTGGAAGCCTTTGAGAACTGATATAATAGAAATGTAATTAAATATTATAGTAAAAAGTACAACATAATGTACTTAAAAGTAATCACAAGAAATTATATTATTAACATTGAGTTCATAATCTGAAAAAAATACTTGCTGTGGCAGGTAATCAATGGATAACCATAAGATACCAGTGTGATGTCACCATGAGACTAAATGTAAGGCTGAGAGATCTACCAAACAGACTGTATCACGTGAAAAATAATACTTATTGTATTTATGATTCCTGATAATAAGGATTTAGTCAACTTGAATGGATTCCTTTTTCTTCAACTTTTCCAGTCACAGCTTAAATGTACAGAAACTTTTAGAATTTCAACACTGATTTTTGGCCAGGAGTTCCATAAATCCACTATTTTCTGCATGAAAACATAAATACTTTTGTTTGTTCCACACTTCTTACTACTAGTTTTTTTTATGTCCCATGCTTTTACTGGAGGAGACAGTGGAAAATCTGCCCTTATCATCTTCTCCATAATATCATGATTTTATAGTTCTTTATTTTATTCTTCCATAGTAATAATGTTCTCACTTTATCCCCTTATTTACCTTCAGTCATTATCCTCTTCTGGACCTTTTCTAACTCTACCAATACCTTTTTTTGAGATGGCAGATCAGAATAGGTATACTGCTTAAGAGGGAGCTTCATGTTCATGTAAGAACAATGCACAACAAAGGCGTTTGATACCAACATACCTTTAGTCCTCTAGTATCTTTGTTCCTGGATAAAGAATAGGAAGAAATTTAATTAACATAAACATATTTTCTAGAAAATTTGCAAAGTGCAGTAGGAAAAGGCTCGTAGCAAAGTTACTAACATGAGTTGGGAAGAAGAGAATATCTGGTATCAAAGAAGATGAAATATGAGATTGTATTAGCTACCTCTAATTATGGTAGTCTGCTAGAAAGAATTCAGATTGTATCTCATGTACTCAAGATAGCATATTCTTTATCAATAATCTAACTTAAAATCTAACAGTGACCTCTGATATTGTACAGAAAATAATGTTTTAAAGGATGTATGAAAGACCTGCATGTGAATAATATACAAAAGAACAGAGGTGCTTTTCCAGTGGCCTCAAAGTGCAGTGACTCTGAGACTTGCCTCAAATGAGAAAAGAAAAAAAAAAAACAACCTACCCACAAAAAAAACCCAAGTCAAAGTACATATATTGGTGGCATAGAACAAGCTGTTCCTGTGCAGAACAGCAAGTGGAGGTTTATTTACATTGGTTAGAAATGCTTTTCTTTGAGTGTTAACTCTTAACTGCTGCAGATGTGTCTACTAAACAAAGTTACAGCTGTGCATACCAAATTTATTTTCACTGGACGTGGTCTATCAGGGACAGCAATATGCAACAATAGGTCACAGTTTAGTAGTCCTAGTTGAAGGAACTTGTAGAAAAGTACAGTGTAGGCATATCAATAGTGGACTCCTCTACCTAGGCCAGTGGAAAATTATGTGAAAACACTTCGGGGGAAAAAGTGCCAAGTCAAATTTAGATCTGTAATTAGCAGAGTTAAATTACAGGATAGCCTAAATGAAAAAGAGGACGTTACAAATTTACATTCTATTCACTAGAAAGCTGGATGTCTGCTAGAAACTAAGGGTGGGTCACTGAAGACAAATAGAACAATACGAAATGCTGAGTATAGTTTAAAATCATTGAAGCTCTCACCTTTTTTTTTTTTTTTTTGAAAATGACACATTCTAGCATTTTTAACAAAAGAAACATGCAGAGAATTGTAGGAAGTTCTTATCCCAGATATACAGCTATAGAGTTTCACAGTGAAGAATCAGTTGTCAAGGACATTTGAGATTACTTTAGCTCTCCTAGACTCTCTTAGCATTTGAGATTAGCTTTGTTAATTAGCTTAAACAATAGATTTCTTTTAAGTACTTGAAATTCTATTATCATAGTGCCAATTGTTAGTTGCTGTTACTACCATGTTTGAGAAAAAGGTTCCAGCATGAGCATTTTGGAATTGGACTGTCATTCAGACTATGACATAGGCTAAACCAGCAATACCTCAGATAAGGAACTAAGTGGAGCTAAATCAAATTTCCTCATAGGCAGATGAGAGAGGTCTGAGCAAAAGACCTTCATTCTTTCCAGTGCTTCAACCATCAATACTGAAGACTGGAAGTCATGTGAAAGCTGAATCCATAGCATTTAGGGAAGGGATATGCTAAAAGAGATTACCTGATCTCGTTACCTAATGACTAGCAAAAGGCAGTGGAAGGTGCAAACAGTAACATTAGTTGGAGATTAAGTCAAATTACTTCTAGAAAGAAACAGAAAAAGGCGAAATACTGAATTTCACAACAACTTCTGTTGTGTAATGCCACTACCTTCTTGGTGTGTTGTTTTTGCTTAAAAATGCTGTGATAATAGAGAGATCTACTTTAAAATATAGCCAGTTTTTATGGTATAATCTGAAAGTGGCAAAAAAAAAAAAAATGTAGTTAACAAAACCTGTAGATCATTACCAAAGTGTACTTTCAAAGAAGTGAAGTTTAGCATGTAAATAAGAAATCAAACTATAATTTGGGAGATAACTAATATTCTTCTTTTATATCTATTTTAAGCCACCCTTTAGGCTTTTTCTAAAAATACATTATCACTAAACTGTGGGGTTTTTTTGTTTTGTTGGTTTTTCTTTTCTTTTTAAGGTAAGAGGGCCCCCACCTGCAGGATCAGTAAAACAAAGACCAGCAAAACACACAGCGTTTCGCAAGTTTTATGACAGAGGAGACTTTCCAATTGCTGTTCAGCATGAGTGTGCAGGAAACAAAATCGCCTGGAAGGTAAGTCCTGGCACAGCTGTGACAACCAGCTGAGCTTATTGAAGTGACATCTCTCATTGTCCAACAAAGTTAGCTTGCAAGTAAATACACTGAAATAATTTCTTAGCAAATGGAAGATGGTGGGAAAGTCATTAGAGAAAGGCCCCTGAGTCAGCTGTCTGCCTTGGCTAACAATTAAATTATATGCTGCAAAAAGGAAGATGACAGAGTTGCTTTGCCTTAGAGAATTGTCTCCTGCCCGATTCATCTCTATTTTTATGAGGACTTGGCAAGGCAGCCTGTTTCAGGCAGTCCATCAAATGATGGAAGTGGCTGGATACAGTGAGCAGCAGCCATTTATCTCCCCCAGATTTCACCTTCCTGCAGGACACTTCCAAATAGAAGCTTTAATTACCTAAATGGATAGGTCAAGATTGTCTGCTCCCTGAAAATGCAGAGCAGAATACAAACGAAGGCAGATTCTCATTCCACGGCTGTGCTCGCAGTCTCCAGCATATGTCAGACAGCGTAATCGCTGTCATACGTGCCTCTGTTACAGGCTGACCTCCACTGCTGAAACCATTACAGCTCCGACATTTCTCTGACAAAAGGTTAATTGGCTTCAAAATAAATGTATTGCCTAATGACTCTATTCTAATGCGGCTGTGTTTTTCTCTAAAATGCTTGGTGACGTTATTTGTAAAACTTGCCAATCTTCTAAGTAACTACTGCAGACTTTTAAATTTAATTTAAAGAATGAATGCTGATCTTTAACCTGCTCCTACTATTTAATTATTTTGGTTATCATGAATTACTTTATTATTTGTCTCATTTATTGGACTAGAAAGATTTTGCTGGAAGCTGTGTTAGTTACAGAAAATTAACATGAAATGCAGGAACAAAATGTGTCAGATTTTTATAATGTTTTAAATTTTTCACGTCATAAACATGATACCGAATTAAATGTAAAGCTATGTTAATTCAACACTAAAAGGAGGAATTTTGCAATCATAATTGATTCTGCTTGTAATGAAGCAAACAGGATTGGCTCTGTAGTGTGGTAAGTAGTACAATATTTGATAGTAACTAATTTTTTAAGATAGCTCTTTTGCTTATTGAAATACAGAAGAAAGATTTGTACTACTATTTTGTTGCTTTTAGAGGTTTTGAATCAGCACAATGAACAATTACTAGTTCTTGTAGCAAAGGGAATCTTTGTCCCAAAATACTTTACCCACAATCAAGATAAGATTCCAGTGCAATTGGGCTTCAGGCAACACTAGAAATTCCCTTGCTGGACTAGAATTCACAGGCTTAAAACTTAAGTCTGCACTCTGATCTTTCATCATGAGGTAAGGCCCAAAGGTGATTTTCAAGTAACTGCAAAAAAAATCTGCACAATTTAATTTTCATCTTGAGGCTTTTTAATTTCTAATTTCTCAAAAATCAAACTGAGAGGTACAGAAATACTGCTGGACTGGCATTCCACTAGATGATGCTAGTGACTGCTTAGTTGACTTAGGACATCAGGAAATTAAATGGAGCTGCATAAGAAATTCAGATGGGACATTAGCAAAAGCTTTTTCATTGAGAGGGTGGTTGGTCACTGGAACAGATTCAAACAGGAAGTGCTTGTTAGTTTCTGGACAAAGCTCTTAGTCTATGATTTAGATTTAAGTAATCCTGTGAGGAAAAAGGAGTTGTGTTTGATGATCCTTATGGGTCACTTCCAGCTTGCTAACTTATCTGCAAGCCTTCCAACCACAGATGCATTCTAAAGTGTTTCATTTCTATATCTGGCAGTTTTAATTGTTTGAAATCATACTGCCTTGAACAGTCACAACAGCAGTCTGTAGTCAAAGATTCAGCATGTATTTTTTCTTAACACACTCTGCAGTCTTCTAGACCCAGTGTCCACCTACTGCAGTAAAACACTGGCTTTATGCTAGTGCAGTGTAGGACTGAGATGCCATGCTGAGATGTCACGCAAGACTTATTTTTTGCTATTCTGCTAAACCTTTCTTTTGGAAAAAAAAAATCAGAACTTCAGCATGAATGCAAGTAAGCAGCACAGTAGTAGACTATTCCATTACTGTATTAGTGCATGTTCAGATTCAACAGCATTTCCTTTATTCCACGCCACTCAATTTAGTCACAAATCAATCCTGACTGAGTTCTGTTGCAGGCAGGCACTCAAGCACACTGAGGTAGTAGTTACTTGAGGCTATTGTTTAGTTTGACATGCAACTGTCATTGATTACTGTGCAGTTTAAGTACATGAAACAGGCAAACCAGCATCATCCAGTTCAAATTTTTCATTAGATACCTTCTGAAGTCTTGGAGGCTGCCCAGAGCTGCCAAAGGGTGAGAATGTTGTTCATCATTAGCTGGTACTTAAAGATACAGATAAAGTAACGTCTCTATTTTTCACTTGTTAAATGACATAGTTGCACTACCCAAAAGACATCTAATGGCTAATTTTCATCAGTTCATTAGTTGTATATCTAATTAAAGAAGTTAACTTTTTAGTAATATATTTTACTTAATACTGCTAAATTCATGACAACTGAAAAGATATTTTACATATGGAATGTGTCGAGGCAAATGTCCTATAAAAGTTTGACTGAAGTATACTTAGTGCACGAGTCGTGATCAAGTGGAAGGATAAAAACAAGAAATGAATGATAACAATAGTATTTTAATCCTGCTGTAATTACCCAATATCAATGTTTTATGTTGAGAGTGCTTAGCTCTGTTGAGTTATAATGTATATCATAATTCATTTCACTCCTGTTATTTTGTCTGTCAAGTGGTGCATGAGAGAAAATGCGGAGGGTCTCAGAAACCTGATTTTTTTACTGGCAAAGGAAAATACTACAGGATTTTGTTCTTTCCTACAAAATACAAAGCTGTATTTTATATGCTTCTTTGTTTGTTTTTATAATTACTGAATCAAAACCGTAATTGTCAGACAATAATTTTTTTTAAAACACTTTGAACACTTATTATGTTGTAATTCTTCAGAAAGAATACAGTACTTTTCAGCCAGAACACAAGAATCTGAAATGCTTTAATATACAAGAATTGTATTTGGTTAATATGTACCAAAAAATTCACGCAAATGACCCTTGATATTGTGACAGTTTTGCATATCTGTCATTTTAAGTCCATGATTAATTACCTTTAAGGGCTGGCTATGCATAACTGTGGTTGTAGACCTAGATGAAATACAAATTTAAAGTTCAGGAAATGTACAGAACTGTTTCTGAATAACTGCATGTGTTGAATATTTAGTTATGAAATAGTAGTGCTTTTCTGTTGTTACATAGCTTAATGGTTTCCAAAATGTGCTAAATTTAGAAAGAGGCATTCTTGCTCCAAATTAATCCTAAGCATAAACAAGATTAAACTGTGCAGATAAATAATGGTGTTTACCTTGGTGTCTTTTCTTAAAAAAATGGACCAAAGCAAATTAGATCTCACTAGATTATTATAGGAAGATGTATGTTCTTGGTGAATTTTCAGACTAAGTCTTCACGTATAGACAGACATCTCTGAATATTTCTGTAATGCTGTGATTCTGGTTGGTAAGTTTTACTATTATTGCAAGTTTAAATAAACCTGTTTCAACCTAAAGGAAGAAAAAATGTAAAAAGATAACATACACTTACAACATATTATACACAAGAACAGGAAATTGAAGCTGGTTTTAAAGAATACCATCCAGATGAAAAAAAAAGGATCAAAAACACTCTGATAATGCCAAAGCAAAATTATGTGGTTCTAGAGGATATAATCACATTTGTTTCCGAAAGAAGACATTGACTGTCTTGGGGTTCCTAATGTTTGTTTTCAACAATTAGGAGAGAAGTTGTCCTTTTGTCATCTTGAAAAAGTGAATATAGAGAATGACGTGTTAATTATGTCTGTGAAAACAATACATAACTTGATACACAAATTTCTGGCTTTGATTGCAATTAAATTAACAAAATAATTTCAAAATTAATTCCAGACGTTTCATTCATTTTCAGTGGATGTCCTTGTAGTCAGTGAATTCTTTGCTAAATAGTGTACACTCAATGTAACATTTTAATATCTAATTTGAAGCCTTTGTTTTTATTATTCCTTGGTAACCAAAAAGACAACCATATATAAACCAGTGCCTTAAAATTTCTGCAAATATTGAATGTTTATGTTTCTTTTGTAAAGTAGTTTTTAAGATCTGGAAAGAAACAACTTCTTTGGTTGAGTTATTGAACAAATGTTCAAGGGTCTTTCCAAATAGGAAGCCTTTGGTTTTTTCTAAGAGAGAATGAATAATAATGGCATGGTTTGAAAACGTATTTCTAATGTGTAATGTGTATTAAATATAAAACTTGGGAACATAAATTTTTGTTAATTTAGAATTAGATAATATTAGAAACTGATCTTTATATCAAAAGAATGTACTAAAATATTTATAAGTCTTTTGACTACTTTTGTGGGATCCTACAGTTCTTTTTCAGCTGATGTATATTGCAATTTTATTTCAAAATGTATTAATACATTCTTTTGCACAATCTCATACCAAGCTATGAATAATAAAAGCTCATAGTTCAGATCTGAAAAGGACTTCCATTTTTAAATATATGATACTGAATTAAAAAAGGTCAGAATGCAATTAAACCTTTGACTAAGAAAGTTGATAAAACCAAGAAAGTATTTCTGATTATAAAGTATGTGTTTGAAATGCAGTCTCTCTGTATTAAATGGAAACTCATCAGAATGTTTGAAAAATTATTTTTTAGGGAGTGGAGTTAATTATGCAAGTTATTATGCAGGAGTAAAAAAAGCTTCTATTCTTCAAAAGAATTGTAGCAATTTCAGAGAAATGAAAGCCAAATTCAGAAACTCAAACTTTTTAAAGCAAAATGTCAACATGAACATGATTTCCAGTTTTGGGGGTTTTTTTCACAGAGTATATGTGTTCACTAAGGATATGACTTCTACCATTTTAGTTTCTCTTCATTTCCTCTTTCCTA